CTGTTTAAAGTAGCTGGTTTTTTTTACAGGGAAGTGAACACAAGAAAACAAACACTTTAGAAAAAAATAATACAATCCCCTAGGACTAGAAAATGCCCTGCCATTCCAGCGGCCTTCTCGCCTCCAAAAATAAAAAAAAAAAAAGATCTGGCAACAAGAAATAAAAGTATCTGGAAACAAGAAAAAGGCAGCAGTTATAAGGAGAGAACAAACTCTTGCACAACCAAACTCAAATACCCTCAATCTGTTTAGCCACTTGAGACTCCTGAGAACATCTTCTGCTCGACCACCACCAGCATTTACTTTGGGAAGAGTACTATTTTAGAAGGGAAAGTCATGTAAAAAAAAAAAAGATGGTAAAGAAAACATATAGTGGAGAGGAGGAAATGAGAAAAGAAGAAAGTAAGTTTAGAATTTATTAAAGGTGAGCCAACACGCAAACATTTTACTCCGAATATTACACCCTTTTCGCCAAGCCCTGTTCTTTCCCTTTGAACTCCGTGTGGTGGAAACCTCCCTCAGTCTAGATCTGCGAGGTGCCTATCGTTTTTCACAGGTTGACAAATAAATAAATATTCTGCCCACAAAACACTTAGCCTGGCTTTCCTGCATTTAAAACAAAAAACAACCCAATCCTAATTTTCAAGTGTCTTCCTTGCATGGTTGCGTTATGAACAGTTATAAACTTTTTAATGTTGATGATCATTATTGTTGTTGTTACTATTCTAGAGCAAAATAAGACAACGGTTATTCCTAGACTTCTTAAAGACACATATATCCCAGTTTTCTACGTCTTTCCAAGACCCTAATGTACAAAATCTGGAGTTCTGCGGTTCTTATTTTTCTAAAGAACCTTAAATGGATGATAGCGTCTCACACTAATAAACACTAGAAATAATCCCTAAGATTGAGACAGAGTGGTAAATTTCGAGCTAACGAAGTGAATGCACTGTTTTGCATTAGCACGCGCTCAGAAGAAGGAAGGAACTCCTGTCCCTGCTGAAGTCCAAGAGATTTTTTGCTCTGGAGCCAGGGTCACACTTTCACAATTCAAGCTGAAGCCTATATAAAAGCTGAGGTTGCAGAAAGTCCTTCTAGGAGAAGAGAAGTACTGGTTACATGGCTCCTGGGAAAAGGTTTGAAAATACTTGCCATGTGGTCTGAGTGGGCACGTGCGAAGTTGGAAACACACGCTCTTCTGAAAACACCGGGAGTATTTCGGCAGCAGGCAGGCAACGTTAGGCGAGACAAAGATTTAGCAGCAGTAGTCCCGGCACTGTCGGGAGCCGTCTTTAAACTTTTCTTCAGCGGATTCCAAAGCACTTTCCGAAAGCGAATGAAGCCGCCTAACGCTG